TTGTTGTTGAGCCTGAAAAAAAGTATGTACCACCGATCCCTTTTCCACATAGAGTACTCAAAAGTAAGAAGAGTGATGAGGAAAAAGAGCATTTTGTTTTTCATATTGGATTGATTTCTGAGTTGGTTGATGATACTTGTACTGATTTGTTTGCAACTGACTTTCCATCATTGTCTGATTTTGATGATAGTTACTCGTGTGATGACTCAACTAACATAAACCTTTGCTCTGTTCATGCTAAGATTGAGGCTACCTTGCAAGTTTACATTTTTCCTACATATGGAGTTGTAGATGAAGTTGTTTATACAGCTGAAGCTCTCGACATCCCGGCTGCGCCAACCAAACATTCCATTGAATAACCACCTTCTGAACCACTTCTTAAGGATTATTATTATTCATCAAAGCTTCAATTTTAGTAGGAAGAAAATTTAATGCAGGAACATAAGAAGGGAATTGGATGGCCAATGACTGACATTTCTAATATTAGGAAGTCCATGTGTACACATAGGATCTTACTTGAAAACAGAGAAAAAGCAGTGAGGCAGCCCCAAATTTGGTCTAACTTATTGATTTTGGATGCTGTTAAAAAATGAGATATACATTGCACCAGAGGAAAAAGAGAAGACCGCTTTCACTTATCCATTCGACACTTTTACCTATAGAAGAATATTTTTTGATAATGGAATAAAAGGCGAAGACACTAATAATAATTTCAAGTTCAATGGATGTTACCAAAAGCTACTGTATGAGACCCCCACTTTGGAAGAAGAGAATGTAGAAGAGCTCTATTTGGGGAAGGCTGCTTATATGATTACTTATCCGCGTTGACTCCTCGGGTGTGTTCTTTCCTTTCTCTCACTCTTATTTCATATTTATGTTCTTTCAATGAGGATAATGTATTCTTTAAGTGTGGGGGAGGGAAATATTCCTTTGTTTTTTTTTCTTTAAAAAAAATTAGACTTAGAAACACAATGCATCTTTTGAAATTTTTAGGCTATAGATTAATTTGAGGTTAGATTGTGGAGATTTGAGAAAATTTTACAAGATCAGTATCGTTTTAACACCTTAAGTCTCCCGAATATGGAAATCGATTTGAGTACTTGTTATGACATAGCCTTGAGTTTTCATCCTTTAATAGCTCTTAAGTAGTTTATATAGCAGTCAACACCATCTAAAAATCACACACTAACTAATTAAGTTGATGCAAATAAGTGAATGATCTCGTACTTAATAAGAAATCTAAATAGGAATCCGCCTTTTAAGTTAGGTGACCCTCACTCGGTCACTTAGGCAAACGGTTGTGAAACATTCACACAAAAAATTTGTTGTTGCTAAAGTGGTTAATTTTGAATTGTTGTCAAGATATGGATCATAGTCACTAACAAGATTATTTACCATGTGTGTGAAGATAATGGGCTTAATGTGATTACATTAAAATAAAAGAGAGCAAAAAGAAGGATGAGTAAGTTAGGCTTAAGCATAATAACATGATTCAGATTGGTTTGTATAGGAGGAAGGTTTATAATCGTACAATTGTAGATTTATGTTCTTACGATATCTTTAGTGTGCAAAATTAGTACCTATCAATGCAATCTTGACCGAAGAAGAGTTTGTAGCCTATAACGAGTATCTGAATGCTATTGTTTTTCATGAGTCTTGATACTATTTTGCTCAGAGTGCAAAAGTTCAAGTGTGAGGGAATTTGATCAGTGCATTTTAATGCGCACTATCTTATGTTTATACTTAGGCATTTCCTTAATTTATTTTGTTTATTGTACTATTTTATTGTGTTTTTAGAATTAAGTCTTTGTTTGCCTTTAATCTATTTTTGCAGCTTATTTTCAGCATTAGCGGTTATTTGATATCTGTCCACTGTTCGGATCATAACTAGAGCTACAAGAATCAGATTGACACGTTCTAATAGGTGTTAGAAAGCTAAGACAAAGTGCTACAAATTTCATGTTTTAGAAAAAAGCTGATTTGGAGTGTAGAAGGCTTGAATAATTCGTTGAAGTCAGGACTCAAATTTTCCTTAAGGAATATTTAGTTTTTGACCGGGTTTTTTTATGTTTTTCGACCTAGTTGGATTAGAACCGAAATTTGATGTTTTCCTATACCTAGAGCATCTGCGCTACTATAGATTAACTTTCTTTTCACAATTTTACTTTTTGTTTTGTAAGAAAAATTCATGGAGAACTAATTTCAATTGTTGATTTGTTGTATTCGGTTCTGACACCTTGAGGTTATAATAATTTCAATTTAGTTTTTATTTCTTTCAATCTTATTCTATGATTCTTCCTTGCTTAATCCAAATTTCAAGAAAGACTCTAAGACTTAAGAACTTCTAAAATATACAAATGTTAAAATGTTCTAAGTCTAACTAATTTGACAGACTAGCTTCTATTTGATTGTCAAGGTTTAGAGTATGTATATCAGTGTGTCGTATTGAAGCTTGGTAGTATTCTTCTTCAGGTTTGCAAATCCTTATATAGAGAGGAGAACAAAATACATTGAAGACTTTCACGAAAAGGTTGGAATGACTTTGTACTTAATTAGACACGTCAATAAAACTCTTTTCTACAAGAGGAATTATTCGTTGAAGCTCAAGCACCAATGAAGATATTTTTCCTTAAGTCTTCACGTGGTCAAAAAGTCTTTGATCCTGACAGATTTGCCTCGGTAGAAGAGAAGATGAGTTAGAAATTGACTTCACTCTTCAAAAGATGATTACTTCAGAGTTTGTTTCTTAGCTTCTGAAGTTTCAGAGTCTGGGCCACCAGAGGCTAACTTTCTCCAGAGTTAACTTCTTCAGAGTCTGAATCACCATTAGAGCCAGAGTCTCTTAACATAAAGTGACTCTTATCTTGAATGTTGATATCATTTTAATTAAAGACAAGGAGCATTCAAGACATTATGTATTACTATGGCGGAAGCCGTGTGCTCTTATCTTAAACTCTTATATCATTTTCATTCTGTATTACATTTGGGAAACGAGAAACTAGGACAAGTTCAAAAACATCACTCCTTATTTTAAGCTCACCATTACTAAAGTTCAACAACAATTGATCCTTACGGGGAGTAAAACCACTGCTGCCTCTTCTTCCTCTGTGGAAGATTTTCAAAATTTGAAGACTTTCAATGTTCGTACCAATCCTTCTAAAGCTTATAACATCATTGAATTAATCTGGTACCCTCCCCCTCTTAGTTGGATAAAGTGTAATTGTGATGACTCGTACAACCTCAATTCGTCCGGTTGTGGTGGAATTTTTCGTAATAGTCAGAGATATTTTATTCTAGCCTTCACTGACAATGTGTTATGGTCGTCGTCTTACTTGGCAGAGTTTGCTGCTCTTCTCAAAGCAATTGAAATTGCGATGGAAAATGATTGGAATAAGTTATGGATTGAAGCAGGCTCAATCAACATCATTCAAGCTTTTCACAAAGCTTCTTTGGTTCCTTGGCATATTCGAAACAAGAGAATATTTGTCTGATTTTTTTTGCGCATATAAGTATTTTTATCTCTCACATTTATAGAGAAGGAAACTCTTGTGCAGACTTATTGGCTAACTTAGGCTTAACATGTAACTACCTAACGATTTTTGAACCTATACCTTTGGACATTAAAAAGAATTTTGTACAAAATAGATTAAGAATAACTTCTTACAGACTTTCTACATCTTGCTAGGTTGTTTTTATGACAATCTTTTGAAAGAGTCTTGATATAATCTCTTTATTTATTTTTGTGTATTTTTTTTTAATATAGCCTTCATTTTAAAAAATTGTAATAGTTTAATAATAATATAAATATACATACATTTTTCTATTATAATATAAATAACAATATATAAATATATATTGTGCGAATATGAAATGTAATACATAGTAAAGTGTCTCTATTCACTAATAATTATTTATTTTAATAAATAATTACCCATGTTCATATTTATATTCATTTTTTATTATAACTATTTTTTTAAAAAAAATATTCAATGAGAATGAGTCAAATTGTCATATATTATTATCATAATAATATGTTGAATAATGTAGATTTGTTTTAATTTTCACTCCATAAAGAAAATTCATTTTTCATTTTATTATTAATGGGCCCACGTGGCAGTATTTGATTAGCGAAATGTCCGCTAGCCCAATGGGTCAGTTTTAGTGGGTTCAGTTAAAATTCACCCTTCACACGTATTTATCTCTCAACCCCAAACGACTTGGCTCTGCGGCACTTGCAAACCATTTGCATTTGCGAAGTCTCCAACAAACTCGCGCAGCCACCAACACTTCTTTTTCTAGGTTAATAAAACCTACTTCTCATTCTCTTCTCTATCTCTTCTTCACTCTCGTTTACTTATCAGGTTTTTCTTTTTGTTCTTATTTATTAGGTTAATCTATATTTTGTTAAATTGAATTTGCTTGATCTGTAAGCTGAATCTCACACTCACTCTTTTGATCGATCTTTCAAAATTTCAATTACATGTGTTTCTGATGTTTTTGATGTGTTTTGTGAGATCAGATCAGAGCCGTAAATTTTGTTTACTTTGAAATTGTGTTGTTTGTTGATAGAAATTAATTTTTTATTTGTGATCTATGATTATATTGTTTATTAGTAAGATCTCTTGGAGTTTGATATTTCTGTTTGCGTATATTTGGATTGCATAACAGATCTGCTGTAATAGTATCTTGTTTGCGTAGTGGGATTGATTCATCTATATTTTGTTGAATATGTTTTTCAAGCTTGAATTCTGTTTGAGTTAAGATTAAATCTATTATTTAATGTTTGAAATTGGAGATTTTTATTACATGTACATGTTTTGATATTCGATTGATGATTTTGGAATTTGGCTGTAAATGTTTTGAATAAAATAATTGGACACATGCATTTCATTGCTTGTTCAGATGTTAACCATGTTTTTAGTTGTTCTGTTACTGTTGTAATCTTTAATTTATGAACATTATTTGACATTGTGTAACTTGCATTGTTCAGGAAAGTCACCATGGTTGATCAGGTTCAGCGCCCTAAACTCTTCCAGAATGTTGCACGCCATACCGGTCTTTCAATGTACCAACAGAGGTCATTTGGGAATTACACCAACCCTGCATTTCAGTGTCCAGTGATGCCGGCATGTGGAGCCACAATGACTGATTTCTCTACTGTTGCAACAACAGCTTCCCCTATCTTTGTTGCAGCTCCTGCTGAGAAAGGAAACTTTCTTGTTGATTTTCTCATGGGAGGAGTTTCTGCTGCTGTATCAAAAACCGCTGCTGCTCCCATTGAACGAGTTAAGCTTTTGATCCAGAACCAAGACGAGATGATTAAAGCTGGTAGACTTTCTTCACCCTATAAGGGAATTGGTGACTGTTTTAAGCGAACAACTGCCGATGAAGGTCTTGTTGCCCTATGGAGAGGTAACACTGCAAACGTCATCCGTTATTTCCCCACTCAGGTTAGTTATATTGTCTCTCTTTTGATTTTTAGTGTTAAATAGTGGCTATAGCAGAATTTTAACAAATTGCTATTTTCTGCATTGATAACAATGGATTTATTCCACCCCTTCACAATTGTGCTGGTTTATGTTGTGTGTGATGCTAACCGTGCAATTGAAATTTCTATTAGGCTTTGAATTTTGCATTCAAGGACTACTTCAAGAGGCTTTTCAATTTCAAGAAGGACAAGGATGGTTACTGGAAATGGTTTGCCGGTAACTTGGCCTCAGGAGGTGCTGCTGGTGCTTCATCCCTTTTCTTTGTCTACTCCCTTGACTATGCTCGTACCCGTCTTGCAAATGATGCAAAGGCTGCAAAGAAGGGTGCTGGAGGAAGACAATTCAATGGTCTTATTGATGTCTACAAGAAGACATTGGCAACTGATGGTATTGCTGGACTTTACCGTGGTTTCAATATTTCATGTGTTGGAATCATTGTCTACCGTGGTCTCTACTTTGGAATGTATGATTCCTTGAAGCCAGTTCTCCTAACTGGATCTTTGCAGGTTAGCATGCCAAATTCTTTTAGTTTGACTGACTTAAGAGTCTTGATTATATATATATATATATATATATATATATATATATATATATATATATATATATATATATATATATATATATATATATATAGTTCACATTAATATTGGTGTTAATTATGGTCTGTTCAGACTTCGGATTGACTTATTTAAGAGAGTCTATAAGCTGTTTTTTTACCTATTTCCACAAGCTCACCATGATAGTTTCTAGGAACAGTTTATAATTTACCTGAAAACCGTTTAACTTTATGTAATCTTTTGCTATGTGTTTGATTAAGCTTTTTATCCAAACACTGCCTTAAACCAAAATGAGGCAAGAGAAGTTTGTTCTGATTTTTCTTTTAAGGATTTGATTTGAATCACTTACAGATAACTATTTCTATTTTGTTGTCTCTTGGTCATTACAGGATAGTTTCTTTGCTAGTTTTGGTCTCGGATGGCTCATCACCAACGGTGCAGGTCTAGCATCTTATCCAATTGACACCGTCAGAAGAAGAATGATGATGACATCTGGTGAAGCAGTCAAGTACAAGAGCTCCATGGATGCATTTTCACAAATCCTCAAGAATGAGGGTTTCAAGTCCTTGTTTAAGGGAGCTGGTGCTAACATCCTTCGTGCTGTCGCTGGTGCTGGTGTGCTTGCTGGTTACGATAAGTTGCAGGTCATAATGCTCGGCAAGAAGTACGGATCTGGTGGTGCTTAATTTTTGTTTTGATGTTGATGAAAATAATTTAGTTTTGAGAAATTGACCCAGTATTGCGGAAAATTTTGTTCAATAATAATTAGTACTCAATGATCCCATACCCTTTTCTTTGGATCAGAGTATTTTATATTTCTAGGTTGATGATTTATTTGAATGACAGAAAAATGTCTGTCACATTGAATTTTACTTTCTTTGATTTGAATGTTTGAGAGAGACTCTATTTGTTATTCTATCTACTTGTTGTTCAAGGGTTGTTACTTAATACTCTTGATTAAAATGCTTATGCAAATTTTGATTTCATTTTTTGGCATCAAGTATTTTACCACTCCTTCTGTTTCACTCTCCATTCCCCGCATAATTTTGTTATACTACTTACTTGATTATCCAATTGAAATGTTTGTTTGAAACGAAGAAACTGATCAAATTCAAATGTGGTTTAGTAGTGTTTTAGTTTATTCAAATACTGGAATTTATTATAGATCTGTTTGTTTTTCTTAGAAGCATTTAATGTTTTTTAATTAAAAATGATTAATAATTGCATGACCCCAATGCGTGGGCTCGAACCAACCAATATCTCATGGTTTGACTTGTTTGAGTTTAATTGAGACGAGTTTTGTTGAGATGAGTTTAATTGAGAAATTATGAGTTTTTTTTTCTTTGTAAAAATAAATTTAACGGTAAAATTTAGTCTAAAAATTATATTTAAACTCAAGTTATAAATTATACCTTAGTATATCTCTCATGGTTTGTCTCGTTTGGTTTTATTTAGATGAGTTGAGTTTAATTGAGAAATTATGTGTTTTTTTTCCAAAAATAAATTTAACTCTAAATTTTAGTGTATAAATCACTATCTTAAAGTAGAATTAATTTTAGAAATCAGAATCAAAATCTATTAAAGAGCAATCAAACATGTTCAAATTAGTTATATACATTTAGAATTAATTTGAGCATGTACAATTAAAATTAAGAGGAAAAAAATGCACTGACAGTATAAAATATTTTTAATTTTATTGTACACTTCGACAAACCATACGTTTAATTTTAAAATACTAATATGACATGTCAAAATGTTATAATTCTCTTGGACGATGGTGTAAAACTAATTTGCGCTGGCAATGCACTACCTTTAATCTCTTAAAATTAATTCTTGACATGCTCAAATTAATTATCCTATTCGACTTATATTTTAAATTTTCAATATATTTTTTAATTCTACCATCTAATTATTAATAATACTTTTATCATTTTCAATATTTGATAAATGGTACTTTAGTAAAAATATCATTTTTTCTTTCATTTATTTCTCTTTTTAAGTGATCTGACCGTGAAATCAAACATTCCCTTTATCTGATTGAACCGATCTAATATTTTCGTAAATCGGATGATAAAGTAAGTCCAAAGTTGATACTTTGTCTTGTTCACATTCCACTTAGAATACCTCATATATTGCTTACGCTCTACTCTATCGCGACCCATACTCAGACGTCTTCAAGGGTGAAACTTTCACGAAAAAAATTAAACTGGAGGGTGATCCTCCCGGTGAACCGCCCATACTCCAAATCGAACGAGTAGAGTATGCTTGGGCGCTTGAAAGAACCATGTCGAAGGAACTCAGTAAAATGACACGTAACTTCGGGAGAAGGGGTGCTTTACTATCTTTAGGGGTGTCCATGAATAGTCATTTAATATGAACCAATCCATTTTTATGATTATGGTTTATAAATCAAATCATTTATCATAAAAACCAGTTTAAAAATAAGTGAAATTATAAGTTAAAAACCAGTTTTATGGTTATGAGTTAAACGATAGCAAGATTCAATATTTTGCTTTTCCGCTCCATTTTTTTCCACTGAACTAAAACACATTGTGTAAAAATAAGTGAAATTATAAGAATCTTCAATTATCGATTATCAAATAATCAAACATCAAAAAAATAATTCAACTACACACAACGAAAAAAATTCAATTTTGACGAAATTTCAAGAAAAATTGCCATGAATGGGGTGAGAGTACAGTGAAAAAATTAGGGACCGAAACGCACGCTCGCACGCACGCGCACACACACATGATTTTTTACCCAAATACCCCACTTTTTCAAAAAAATCACAAAATAACTCACTTTTCAAATTATTTTCCAAAGTACCCCACTTTGGGGTACTGATTGAGTAAAGACGCCATACTAACTAGTGATCCTTTACAAAGGCCAAGAGCTGTCGCCAATTGGATTGGAGATACCACATGGTGTTGCCAGTCCAATTGGCGCCATAATGCAAAGTCTTAAAGGCTGTCGCCAATTTAATTGGAGACAAGGCGAAAATTGTAATTTTTTTAAACATAAATAAGTAACATTAATATTTAATTAAAATAATATTAAATAAATTAATGTTGGCGACCGGGTTGGTCATACCGACCACCGGTTCCACATCCCTTAGACACCCTCACTCGTTGCCCTCGTTGTTGATTCACTCTAGGTGTTTGAGGATTTGAAGTCCCAAGAACATTCCCAACAGAATCCCTAAGAATTTCTTTCATTTCCAAGAAGTCTTGAAAGGTTGAAATGGTTTTGGTTTTTGAAATCCATAAGGTTGTTGTGATGTTTGTGCGTGTAGGCTATAGTGTGATGTTTGAGCGTTATGGATGTGGTATGATGTTTGGGCGTTTTGGCTATATCTTGATGTGGTGCTGGGGGCATATGCATTTTGGGTGTCTTGATAATAGTCATTTTGTTGGAGATGGTATGAAGGACGCTCTTGGTAATGTGGTTGGGTGTTTGACATGTTTGGATGGTGGATTTATGTGTTTGTGGGTTGGTAATTTTGTTGGATAAGGGGTTGTGAGTAACAAGTCTGATAATTTCCTGGTGGGTTAGACGTTGAAGCTTCTTGTGTGTAGGTGGTTTGTCATGAGTCGTATAGATACCTCTCTTCGGAGACAAACCCAGTTGCAATCGATATGTACCAATCCATATAAGTATAGTTGGTATAGACGGGGTTGCTATCACCAGGTCACGTAAGACATGGGCGCGGTGGTTCCTCCATTTACGACACTCAGATTTAGCAAAATCTTTCTAGTCGGGATAGTCCCATTGATCACTAACTTTTTATACATGCCATTTACTATGGTCAATCGGGGGATCTGGGATGTTTAGATGCATTCCAAACTGTAGTTTGACACGGTCACTTTGGTGTATTTCCAAAGTGGTGAATCTGATGATCGACACGCATGCAGTCCAAACAACTGCATCTTCCTCTCTGACTTTATGTAGGTGTTTCATGTTTAGATACGGACGCCAAATGAACTGTAGAAGAGAGAAAAATATTAGATTATGTAATGGGTGATATAAAAAATAAATTGATTCATTTAGCGGCCTTACATCTCCATGTGTAAGGTGATCCAAGAGATTGCGGTATTGAATGATACAATATCTAGGACATCTATTGTAACTCATACCGCGAGCCGACCATCTAAACAAAAAAGTTCAAATAAATTAGTTAGACACAATAATTAGTAAGGTGAGTTAACTAATATTAAGTTATTAACTTACTTTTTTGCATACGGGCGCTAGGGATGGTAATCTAGACCAACCCCATGCTTGGAGCAAAACGGGGCATCCAAAAAATGTAGATGTGTTTTTTTTTCCGCGTTTTTACACAAAAGGTATACAAATAAGACAAACAAGCGAAACCCCAACTATATTCTCTTTTTTTATCTAGGTTTCTCAATAAAGGGTAAAAACATAACATGCATAGTAAAACTAGTATCTTTGGAGAAAAAAAATGAACCAAGTAAAAGTATAAGATAACACTTGGTTTTTATTATTTTCATTTCTTCGGTAGAATTTTCATATAATATTAAACTATAGTACCATGCCTTGGGACGTGAAAGTAAGATATCTTGGCCTCTTCGGTTATGATTTAGCAAGTCGGCACCCAAAAGTTCCTCACAAATTGAATTATCAAAGTTTATTTTTCCATTGACCGCCTTATCATCAACACGCAACCCGAGTAACATGTACACATCCTCTAACGTCACGATACATTCATCGATTAGAAAAAAGAAAGTGTGTATCTCTGGGGTCATCTCTCTTGTAAAGCTAGTATAAACTTTGCATCAACAGAGTAAAACATGATTTTGCTTACATGTCGGGTCAATTATTCAGTGAATGCATAATAAAAGTGATGAAAGAAGAAACATCAAAGCCAACACACATGCAATTACAGTCTTTGACCGTCATAGGAAAAATTTCAGTGTACAGGAAACAATGGACCATAATGAGAGGATGCCAAATTTATCCTCTGTTGTCAAACTGAATAAATGTTGGTGTGACTGTGGCAAGTACCAGGCCTTCCATGTACCTTTCCCCCATTTTATTACGGCATGCGGACATGCTTATCAGGATGCTTACAACCATCTATCTAATATTTACAAGGCCATTAACGTTATGAATGTCTACAATGAAGACTTCATAGTGCTAGCAATGGAAGAATATTGGCCTCCATACTAAGGGGACATAGTTTGGCACAACGATGACATACGATGAAATAAAAAAGGACGCCCAAACAACATGCGTATAAAAACAGAAATGGATACGACTAATAAAATGATAAGATTATGTAGTATATGTCGACAGCCCGGACACAATCAAAAAAATTGTCCCAATGTCGGAGCAACCTCTGCATCATAATTTAGTTTCTCTTTTCAATTGTTGTAACCATAGATTTTGATATATTAATGACTTTTTGTTACAACAAAATTAACAACAAACAACACATATAACACATACAACGGATATCAGAATAGATAAACACAATATTTCTGATCATACCTGATCATAAGAGATTGCTAGCCTGCTACGCGTCTGAGCTGTCGAACTGTTGACTTGACGGACAAAGGGGGAAGGTGTACCTAAAACACACTCCGATGTAAAAGTAAGGGACGAGCAGAGTGATAAAAAGTACAGAGAGAAAGGAGTAAGAATTAGATTACCTGACCCTCTAGTG